TGGGCGCGAGGTGACCGAGGCTATTGTTTCCCATCCAGCGGGATGTCAGGTTGTCCCAGATTTATGTGTAACAGTCTAAAAGTCACGGTCGTGTCGACCTCTTATTCACATTACCGTTATTTAGATTATTCTAGAAAAAATCTGTACAATATTTACTTTCATTTCTGTTTTCCGAACTGATAGGCTGGGGTCCGATGAAAAATGTTAAAAGAGCGTCCCTTTACACTACGGTTTACAAGCGCGGAAAACTACTTAATAGTAATTTTGTTATTTCCAACCCTATATTTTTGTAAATGTCATTTAGCGGCTGTACTGGTGTCAATCAGATAACTTATCCAAAGGCGATATCCTATTCTACAATGTACTTTTAAACGCCTTTGTTCCTCCATACCACTTTCTACAGGCTTGTAAACTACTGATATTTCATAAACATAATATTTATGCGTCTAAAATAGAATTATTGAATTCACACAACATTGGCATATTAACGAATAGTTGTATCGTTCAAATATTTAAAGAACTTCATGAACCTTCAACTTCATAATTTTACTAATAACGTATTTTCCTGATTTAGCGAACTTTAGATGAACATTAATGTCTTTTGTTACAAACAATATCATCTAAAAACATGTAAAGCTATAATTATCGAATTAAAATAATTAACGTGTGAAATACGAGATATTTCGCCTAAATTTCACATTATGTTAGTCACGTTGGTATACTTAATCTGCAATCAGTTCACACGGGAAAATAAAACATCGAGGCTTAAGTATTATATAATACACACGCGCGTGAAATATATGAATTACAGAATCACTGTTATGTTCATCCCTACTAAGTTGTTTTTATGAATTTGCGAAACAATACTCTTCAGCGGCTTATTTCGAAATTCCAAGAAAAGATGTATTAATACCAATCGATGATTATCTTTATTATCTTTTTCATTAAAAATTGGAATGCCAGACTTCTAACGCAATTTTACTTGAACAACAATAAAATTCTTCACGAACGTACGGCCTACGCAAATTCAAAACATATGTCAAGAGGGATAGAAAATCTAAAGAACAGAAGGCATCCACACGCGATTATAGGGACACATCCGTCATACTTCACATAAAGCACATTAGTCAGGAATAGTCTGTTTATCCGATCCTACATTAATTACCCCTAGTTTTGAACATTTAGGACACAAATCGTTATACTTTTCTTAACGTGTCCCTACAACCGGTTGCTGCAGTAGCCGCGGCAGATTTCACATCGCCAGCCGAAACAGGGGAACATAGCTCATTTCCCGTATGCATATTAATTCCATGACAGTCTGTCAAAGGGGCAACATGATTTGTCCCGCGCTCCAATAATACATCGATGGCTCCTCCATCTAGCATGCAGTCGTTCCACTCCCAGCGCTCTACCTCCGCCCTTCGCCGCGCGTTCGATCCAAAAGAGCGAGCGAGCGCCTCGGCTGCAGGCACGTTCTTTCTCAAAGGCCGCGAGCCCGCTTCTGAGCGGCAAATTGGCCGAAAACAATTGCCGGCAATCACCCGTCCGCCCGAGCGGGGCGGGGCGGGGCGGCCGTGCGGCGCTCGGTGCCGCTTGGCTGCGGCGGCGCGGGGGCGATAATCGAATGGACATATTTCGGCGGATTACGCGTCGCAGGTCGACAAATCGGTCGTTGTCGAAATTGGCGGAAGGGTTCGCCGTAGCAGTAGAATTCACCGATTAAGCATCTGCATTCTGATTCCTGCTGGCTACCTTTCGCAGCTCTCAATTTGCGTCCTGCGATTTCCTCCACCTCTTTGCGTACGACGCTTCGGCTTCCATTTGCCGCCGAATCGATCGGTCCAGTTAGAAACAAAGTGCGTGCGACTGGGTTCATTTCTTTCTTTTTCTTTCTTCACTGTAGTGGATTTTTATAATTCATCCATCAGTCTGTAATGGTGATTCAGATCTTCGCATATTTCTATGTGCATTACTTTTCATAAATGTATTATTATTATTATTATTATTATTATTATTATTATTATTATTATTATTATTATCATCATTATTACTATTATTATCTTTAACTTCTCTTTTCAAATTTTTTTATCGTGTTTCTGATTAATATCTCAACATCATCAAGAAGTTCCCTGCAGCACAATGCAACAATACTTGAACATTCGTGTCATCACCGTGGTTGTTACATTTTCCTATCTAACTTCTTATATCGTAATGGCAGCTGTGTTCATTCTCTCCCCAACTCTTAATGCTCTCCGCTGGTGAATTCCACTTTCATGGGCGAGGTGCGGGAACGTGGAGTGTAATTCGAAACTGATTCAGGGCTTTTGATTTCGGAACGATTTAGCGCCTGCCACAACGATGTAGGCAATCCGCGACGCTTCTGTGGCCGTTCTGTTTCGCGCCCCCTTCGAGGCAGTGCAAAATGATCGTTTTCAGTACGGACGAAACTTTGTGAATTATAAATAATTGAGTACAGCTAGTCATTACAGGTACTACAATTTTTATTGTAGGACTCAATTTTTAAAATCCATCGAACAATAAATGATGTTCCTAATCATCATGGGACACCTGAATCGAGAGCGCGTCTCAAAAATTATCTCATATTCATTTGCATTACGTCCACATCATGCATTTCTGAAAGGATTATTATCCGAGACAAGAATAAGGAATGTTAATTAGAATTTTTTGACACCAATATTTTCTACAAAATATTTGGAACATTCATATTGGACTGCACATACTTCGAGGGATATATGCCACCCACAAAATGTCTACATTTGTACGTCCCTGCTCACATGCGACAGCACCCTGCATTGCTATGAAGGATATATCGTTTCATAATTTACGAGACCATCGTACAACACGTGCTACACGAGAAGGGTTCGCAATGCGAGATTGCCCACTCGTTTTTGTCGCACACGACGCCTCTCAAACCACTGACCCCATTAAAAAAAAGAAAAAAAAAGAAAAAAAAGCACTACTGCTTTTAATTAATCGGAAATGACAAAAGGAAGGCAAATTATGAAAACGCATAGCGAAACAATGCCCGAGAACAAGCAGCAAAAAGACGGATTTGGACCCGCGAGGA